CAACTTTATTCAGAAAAGTCCAAACTGGAAACAAGCTGAATGTCGTCCGCAGGTGAGTGAACAGGAAGTGGTGTTATTTTTATGGGGTAGAATACTACTATGAAAGGGACACATTAGGTCACATTAGAAACAGATGATCTCCACAGTATGTGCAGCAAAATGATGCCATTTATATAAAGTTTTAGAACAGGAAACACTATGTTAAAATGAAAGTACGTATTGCCTATGAGGTAGAGGAAATTAACTGGAAATCTGGGTTGACAAATATATATTTTACAAAGTCTATCAGTGGGTTAGTACTCATGAATAGTGTGTAAATTAGACCCCAATTTAGACAATTTAAAAACTGAAAGAGAAAAGTCCAAATAAAAGAGTTGCATATACACTATGGCTGAGAACTGTTTTTCCATAGTCCAGAGCTCCCATGTTTCTTTTAAATGATGAAAAAGGGTCAAGGGCATCTACAGGAGATTACGACCGGAATCAAGAGGCCACTGAGGGTGTTGAATGGGAGTACCAGGCAAGCTCCATGGCTACCACATGCAGTTGTCAGTGTTATGTAAGAGACACTGTCTGACTGTCCAGGAAGAATAAGGCACATTAATAAAGGTCAACAAAGATAAGAAGACAGGGCAGAGAGGAAGATCTGCCTCCGCTGACATGCAGACATGAAACCCCTGGAGGCCTGTGACCTCATGGAACTCAGGAAGACGGGATTATTGGGAAGGGGAGACTGATATTGTGTTGATGCTGATTAGAGGTTTAACACCGGCTTTTAAGTTCAGTGTACTGTCTTTCTGATGGGGTGAGAAACTCAGATGATTGGACAGAAAATATTCCTTTCTCCATGGCAGGAATCACAGAGCTTCAGTCTTTACCGGTTATGGGAGAACTGAATGCAATGAAGAGCTGAAGTCTTAGGTTTAAGTTGGACTCAGTTCTAGGAGTGGCTCCTAGAGCACAAGTTAGCACGAACTGAGGTCTGCACAAACCAAACCCACACCGATGTTAAAGCTTCTACAGACCAGTGGACTGCTAAGAACTCAGCGATGGTGGAGAGCTGGGAAGTTGCTTTGATTGTTGCCAAACTTGTATTTGTTGTTAGTCATCTTCGTAGCCGTTTGTCACCCTGCCTGGATCTCCGTAGGTACAACTTCGCGAGTGTGTGACGTCAGCAGACCACTCAGATTGCCTTCTTTGGGTAAGACCTACAACCTTTATACCATCCCCCTGCCTTGCTGCAGCCTGCCTACCTGGCACCCCACTAATGAATTTGATAAATGCCTTAATCTGTGACTTTCTTCTGTTCTGTGACTATTGAAATTTCATGTAACTGCTTCTGTGTTGGAATGTCATTTGGGACAACCTGTTCCTGAGGGATGATGACTCATTTGGCTCAGGATAAACAAGCTAGTATTCCTTTCGAGGTGAACTGAGTGTGGTGGACATTAGCAAGTAAATATCAGATACAGAAGACAGCTCTGTTAACAAAGAAACCCGTGCACACCGGAGTCACACAGGTCCCCAGGCTTCAAGGATATCGGTACCTATCAAGGACACAGCTGTGTTTCTATTGGAGCTATGGAGTATGTTTTTTTCCCTTTTATTAGTCTATATTATTTATGATGAAAATAAAGAGGTCTGTTTTTCTGTTCGATTCTAACAGAAATGAGATCTGAATTTCACCCTGAGATAGCATATGATTAAATACAGTATTAGGCATTGTTTTCATGATAGAGACCCCCTTTCTAAGCATAAGGTCTATTCTTCATGGTAATTGTAATGCGACTAGACAATACTTGGATCATACAAAGACACTTATCGCCATCTATCAACCAAATGGAGTAAGTGGTCTTCAGAGTGCGGTGTTCTTGAGTGCCACCTAGCGGTTAAAGCATTCATCCACGGTAGCTTCAGCACTGTTGTGCAATCGGCAGCTCCAAGCAGCAAAAGGAACTAAGATGAGTATCAAAGAAGGCAATCTTAAAAGTAAAACGGAAAGTTGAGTTAGAAGTGGGCCAGTGAGATGAGACCGGCATCTGCTGCTGAGCCTGATGACCTGGGTGTGGTCACATGGCCACAAGGTGGCGCAACAGACTCCTGCAAGTTTCCTCTGAACTCCGCAGGTTTCCCCTGCGTTCTCTCTCACTCTCACATCACCACACACACACACACACACACACACACACACACACTAGGAAAAAAAGATAGATTAGAAATATGAATACTTTTTAGGATAATTGGTACAAGTTTTGTCTTAAGGATCTTTTTCTCCTTTTTATCTTCATTGCAATTGAGATAGGATGGAGGCACACACTGGGCACACACTGGATAAGGGTGGTAGCGCCAAGAGGACAAGAACACGGAGGAGCAGTCACTTAGGACAAGAAAGCTGGTTCACCCTTACATCCGCACAGCTTTCAGAGCTCCTAGAGGAGTTTTCTTCTTGCATTAGTTTCATACAGAAACTCCAGTTAGAGGAAATGCAGACACTCAGGGGTCAGCAGAGGACTCAGCTGCAAACGGGGTATCTGTGTTACAGACTCAAGAGGAGGCGGGAAGACCGTGAGCCGGAAGGTGGAGAGGACCAGAGTGAAGCAGCATCCTCTGGACATGACAGGGCTGCTGCGGTCAGGAACTCACATCGGCTGTGGTTGCCTGCACCAGTTCAAGCCAGTCACCCCTCTAGCACGGAGAGGAAAGTCACCGACAAGCCCCCACCACTAACTGGAGGGGCTGTGGACAATTGGTGGCTTCCCGAGTGTGTGCAGGGCAATAGTGCGCTCTAAAGGTATGACTCCTCCTAGGTAGGCCATTCCCTGATGAATGGCCCCAAACCCAGGAGAAGTTGAACAATACAAATTGGAGTCAATGAGTTATTAGATGACAAAAGGTGGGGCATGAAGTTGGGGTTGTAAGGAGTCGGGGGTGGACCTGAGAGGAGTTAGGAGGAGTCGGGCATGGTTATCATCAAAAGTATCTGTAATTCTCAAATAATAAAAATATATTATGAAAAGTAAATGCACATATAGGAATAGATTCCATCATAAAAGAATGTATAAACTAATTTTCATTAATGATTTACTCAAATCATTTCATGTAACTGAAAGACAACATTTATTTGAGATTTTACTGATTTTCTAAGACATTTGTAAAATGAATGAACAAAAATTACCTCAAAATGTTTTTAGCATTGTGGAACAAAGTTTCTCTCTCTATCTCTCTCTTTCTTTTGTATTACTTTGATGATTGAGTGACTGCAGTGAATATACAGACATGTGAATGAAAAGAAAAATATCTAATAACATGAAACTTAGTAGATGATTGCCATTGTGGACACAGTCTTGGAGGTAATCAATGTATTTCCTTTCTCTTACCTTTCCTGGTAATGGAAACATTTAGACATTTTACTTATCAAGTCATATTTTAAATCTCTATTAGGTAAATACAAATACATTTATTATAAATACTACATAAACATAATGATCTATAATGCTATAGCAGATACTATTTTATTAATTTAAATATAATTAAAGTTTATTATAATTAGAAATGATTGAATGGACGAACCACTTGTGTATCATCTATGGAAAACAAATAAAAATTACCCACCATTAATTTTGTGTGACAACCCTGGAATGAAGTATATCATTTGGAAAATACCAGTCAAGTCTTAGAATAGAACTGGACACAGTGTAAGCAGTGATGACTACAGTTTATTTTCTTCCCTTTTCAGGAGTCACTTGCCCCTTGCTTAGTTCCCAGGGGTTTGAGGACCACAAAAAAGAAAGCCAGGCTTTAATCTTACTATGTTTTATTCAAGGGACCTTTGACTTATGCAGCTGTATTGTATTCTGTTTATGGACGGGAAAATGAATCCCGATAGTTGTTTGTGTATACTGATTACAATTCACTGAAACTCCCTTTACTCATAGTAAGGTTGTCAGTAACTGAGTGGGAAATGTTCTTGGGTTCATTCTGGTTTATCCCAGCTTCTGATCATGAGCTTCCATCTGTCATAGTTCCTTTCTTGTTGCTGTGATAAGAAACCATGATCACGGGAACATACAGAAGAAAGCATTTATTGGGGCTTATAGTTTCAGGGGTGGCAAGGAATACGACAACAGGTGGGTAGGTATGGTGCTGGAGCAGTAGCTGAGAGCTACATCTTGATCTACAAGCACGAGGCATTAGCAGGGGGTGAGGGCAGGGAGGGCACTAATGGAATGGCATTAACACAATAACACAAAACCACAGATCCCACTCCTTCCCAAGTAGTTTTACCAACTAGAGACCAAGCATTCAAATGTATGAGGTTATTGGGGTCATTCTCATTCACATCACCACATTGTCACTGTGGCAAAATGGTGAGATACCCAATTGACAACCTAAAGTAAATGTTCATTTGGGCCATGGTCTCAGATTTCACTGCATGGTTGGCTGGTACTTTGGTTTGGACTTGAACATCACACTGAAGAGTCACTAGTGGAGCAAAGCAGCTCATTTGACAGGGGACATGAAGCAGAATAGTGGGAGAAGGGGCCACAGTTCCCAATATTCCTGTCAACGGCATATCCCCAGTGACGCAACTTCCTTCTGCTCGGCTCCACACCCTGCCGGCTCAAGCCTCCACTGCAAGCATGGTGCCCCAGGCTGGTTGATAAAGCACTCAGCATATAGACCTTTGGGAGACATTTAAGATTAAAAAAACAAAACAAAACCATATCCTCTGCACCTCTGTGCATACAGTATGGTTTCCAGTTCAGTCTTTTTATAGGGTTCCTGAGGGTGCAAATGAGTGGGTTTCTGACTTTGGTACCTTCTCTTGGGCTCTTTTCTTTGTTTTGTTCACTTCTATTGTGTTAGTTTTTGTTTTATCTTACTATATTCTGTTTTATTATTATCCCTTAGAAGCCTGTTTGTTTTCTAATGAGAGATAGAAAGGGAGTGGGTCTGTATGGGCAGGGAGGTGGGGAGGAACTGGGAGGAGTAGAGAGAGGGGAAATCATATTCAGGATATATTATGTGAGAAAAAAATCTATTTTCAATAAAAGGAGAAAACAAGATTTTAAAAAAACATAGCATTTGGCACTGGTCTGTTAAAGACTCATGTCCAGCTCTTAAATCAAAATGCAATTAGTCTATTTCCAAGAGTCACTATGTCCTAACAGTTCCAGATTTGTTCAGAGGTCTAAGTCCAAAGTCCCCTCTGAGACTGAAGTCAAAACTCTTAGCAGTGAGCCCAGTAAATTGTATTTCTGTCCTATTCAGATGCCCTGAGCATCCACAGAAGTGCCTATTAAGTTCTACAATATTCTTCTTCAAACTTCCCCAGACTCCTCTCATGAGAAATTGTGAAGGCCGTTAAACTCCATTATCAGATATTGCCAACATCACCAACAGCACTCCAAGGATCTCTGCCTCATATTAGCCGTCTTTTTATCACTGTGGCAGAGTACCTGAGAAAATCAACTTAAGAGGTAGAAAGATTTATTTTGGTGCATTGTTTCAGTTTCTGGTCCTTAAGTATCACTTTGGATCCATGATGAGACAGATCATGTATGTAAAAGAGTAACGCGATTCCCCTTATGGTGGCCAAGAAGCTAAAAAAAAAAAAAAAAAAAAAAAAAAAAAAAAAAAAGGTAAGAAGTACTGGGAGGTTCCAAAATACTCTTCAAGAACATTGCTTCCAACGACAGTATATCCTTTTAGACTCCACCTTCTGAATGATTATACCATATCCCAATGGTGCTGTAGCCTAGCAGCCAAGCCTTTGACTTGGGGATGTTTAAAGTCCAAACCAAAACAGTCTTGTTTATATTTGATCAATTATACTCACAACATAGAGTATCCAGTGAAAGGGAACAGAAATAAATTATGATGGAGTGCACTAAATGGTTCACTCTAATCCCAGAAGAGCAAGCAGCCTTTCTCACCTTGTCTGGATGTGTCTCCAGAACATCATGTACTTCCCCCATGGTCTCTCCTTGTGCCTGTGTCCTTGACTAGAGAATGTGCAACATTCTCTTAGTGATGGATTTTAATACCTGCAGGCCAGAAGAGGGTGTCAGATCCTATTATAGATAATTGTGAGCTACCATGTAGTTGCTGGGAATTGAACTCAGGACCTCTGGAAGAGCAGCCAGTGCTCTTAACTGCTGAGTCATCTCTCTAGCCCCAAGGGCAATTTGTTTACAGCTCCTTCCTTCCTTCTCCTGTTGCATGTGGAGATCTAAGACTTGTATGAAATAATTTGTTTGGAAGTTGATCAAAGACAGCCAGAAGAAATGCTACATAACCCTTGCTTATTTTTAATTGTGTTGTGAAAACTTCTTTTGATTAGTTTCTTCAACATCCCTTTTCCCTTCCAGTTATTCAAGACAGGGTTTCTCTGTGTAACAGCTCTGGCTGTCCTAGAAGTCACTGTATAGACCAGGCTGGCCTGGAACTCTGAGAGATTTGCCTGCCTCTGCCTCCCAAGTGCTGGGATTAAAGGCGTGGGCCACCACCACCTGGCATTCAGCATCCTATTTTTAATAGGGTTTTAAAATGTACTGTGCTTAATAAAATTTAGGTTTATTTCATATGTATTTAAAACATCTAAAAGTATTATTTTAACTTTCATACTGTGTATTAAAAAACCCTAAGGATAAGATGACAATTTCATGTTTTCAAAATTTATGGTAAAAGTTTTGATTCTAGATATAATAGAGCAATCCATGGAAATATTTGTTGATGAAAGAGCAAGTATTCTGCTTTGAGACATCAAATTTATATTTTATTTTATTTGAGACAAAGTCTTACTGTGTAGTCATGTTAGGCCTGGAACTCACTCTGTGTGGGGTCTTGCCCCACCAGGAACTTAGGTCACCTCTGAAGAGGTGGCCTGGAACCGAGGAAAGGTAAGTGTGCCACTCAGCTTACCAGTTTCCCAGCCTTCCTTTTACCTGGAGACAATCAGCTGCAGTGGGGAGTCAAGTCAAGCAAGAACTCCTTTATTGATAGGCAGTAAGCCTCTTCTACACCAGAAAACCTCAGAACCCTAGGAGGGGGTGAAGGAACCAACCAATCATTCTAAAGGCCACCCTTTACTTTTTCCTTTGTTTACAAGCTGTTTGTGCACTGACATTTCCTGATCTTTGTATTTAATCTCAGTGTAAACAACTTGGGCTAACTTCCTCTCGGCACCATTTATATCTTATCTCACTGTTAACAACTTGGGCTCTATTTGTCTAAATTTGAATTTATTTTATTATTTTATGTTTATACCTGCATGTATGTCTGTGTACCACATGTGTGTGCACCTGCAGAGGTCAGAGAACATTGAATCTCCTTGAACTAGAGTTACAGAGTGTTGTGACCCTTCATGTGTGTGCTGTGAATCAACCTAGGTCGTCTGGAAGAGCAGCAAGTGTTCTTAACCACTGACCCATCTCTCCAGCCCAACTGAAAGGATTTTGACAGCGACTTCTAATTGATGATCACTTTCACCTGATGTGGGGGCAGAAAGCAGGGGACCAACTACTAGACAGATCCATTCTGTCACCAAAGAATTATCACAACTTAACTACAAGATGAGTGATTGTAGTTGGTTGTTCTACTCTACTGAGGGCCCGCCACCCAGCTCCCAAATAAACACATGGAGACTTAATCTTTCTTATGAATGCCCAGCCTTAGCTTGCCTTGTTTCTAGCCAGCTTTTCTTAAGTTTTTTCATCTACCTTTTGCCTCTGGGCTTTTCCCTTTCTCTATTCTATATACCTTTCTTTACTTTTACTCCATGGCTTGCTGTGTAGCCGGGTGACTGGCCCCTGGTGTCCTTTCTCCTTGTCCTTTTCTTGTTGCTCCCTCTTCTCTGTTTTATTTATTCTGTCTGCCTGTCAGTTCTGCCTATTCTCTCTCCTGCCTTGCTATTGACTGTTCAGATCTTTATTAGACAATCAGGTGTTTTAGACAGGCACAATAACACAGTTTCACAGAGGTAAACAAATGTAACAGACGTATGCAACACATCTTTGCATCATTAAACAAATATTCCACAGCATAAATGAGTGTAACACATCTTCAAGTAATATTCCACAACAAGGGATATTTTTGAAGAAAGATTTTGGTCATAAGCAGGATTTAAGAATACAGTCAATTTAAAATGGAGTCATGCCAGGTGGTGATGGTGGCACATGCCTTTAATCCCAGCACTTGGGAGGCAGAGCCAGGTGGATCTCTGTGAGTTTGAGGCCAGCCTGGTCTACAGAGCGAGATCCAGGACAGGCACCAAAACCACACAGAGAAACCCTGTCTCGAAAAAACAAAAATGGAGTCATTTTTTAAGGGAGGGGAGGGAGGGAGAGAGAGGAGAAGAGAGAGAGAGAGAGAGAGAGAGAGAGAGAGAACACTGGGATGCTATTTACAAGACTTCAACAACCACAGCCTCTCACAAAGGCCATGTGCCCTTACATAAAGCACATTTCCATAGGAATATGTGCCCACGTGGTATACTTTTTTTCAATTTTGTGTTCTTTGACAGTTTTGGTTCATACATGCAATAAATTATAGTTCTCACTCTTAGTATGCTGTCTCATCCCGTTCCCCACAGTGAAAATCTTCTTCTTCCCAGCAAGTTTGCTTTCATGTCTTTCTTGTGTTGTGACCTACTGGGTTTAAAAAGGGTTACTTGCATGATGGTGCATGGGAGGTTATTTGCTGGAACATGGAAAACTTATCAGTGGCTACACTACTGAAAAAAAAAATGACATCCTTTCCCCAGCCACCATTAGCTATCAATAGTTTGTGGAGAAAACTGAATCTTACTTTCTCAGCAGCCACTGATTGATTGTAGTTTTTCATCTAGGGTAGAGCCTTGGGAAATGTCTCCTATCCGTGTTGGCATGTCATATTGTTGAGATTTTGTGGGAGCCCCTTTCCTATTGTATATAGGAGACACTATCTTATAGACGTTGTCCTGAATATCTGACTCTTACAATTTTTCTACCTACTCTTCTATGATGTTCCGTGAGTTTGGGTTATAGGGTTTGTGTTGTAGATTTGTCAACTGGGGCTGGGTACCCTACAACCCCCAGATTAAAGATGGACATATCCATACAGATACAAAGAGCACAGAGAACACTAAATACAAGGATCAGAAGAGAAACTTCAGGGCATAGTATAATTAAAACACTAAATATACAAAAAATAGAGGGTTTGGAAAGTTGGACGAGAAAAATCACAATCCACATAAAAGAAAAACCCATTACAATAACAGCTGATTTCTCAATGGAAATCATAGCCAAAAGAACCCAGAGCAATCTGCTTCAAATTCTAAAACACCACAGATGCCAATACAGACTACTATACTCAGCAAAATTACCGTCCATCATTGAAGGACAAAGAAACACTTGCCATGGTGTAAATAGACTAAAAGAATTAATGTCCACCAGACCAGCTCTACAGAGAATACTAGAAGCAGTACTTAGTACTGAAGAGTAGCCAAGAAACTGTAGAAAGAAAGCAATTCAAGGCAAAGTAGTACTGAAAACACAAACAGCAGCAACACCATCCCAACAATCAACACACAATTTCAGTAATAACTTTAAATATGAATGGCCTCCACCCTCTAATCCAAAGACACAGGTTAATTGAACGGATTCAGAAATATCTCCCTTTTAATTATGTTTTTACTTCAAAGTCTCGTTTTATCTGTTTAAAGTGTCTTTTGGTTATACATTTTGCCTCTAGACTTATATGCATTTTTTAAAATCTCATTTGAATCTTGATTCTGAAATTCACATTGTATATTTTAACAACTAACCTTGTACATTTTATTGTTCTTAGTATTGAAAGGCACTACTTTTACATGTTCCCTGACACGTGATCAGTTTTAGAATAAGTCTAATGGAAGGATGCGAAGAATGTGAATTGTTTCGTGTTTGGGTGGAATGTTCTCTAGATATCTGTTAAGTATGATTGATCCATGATGTTACTTAGCTCTAATGCTTCTCTATTCACATTTTGCCTAAATGATTCATCTATTGGTGAGAATAGGGAATTGGAGTCATCTCCTATGACTGTGTTGATGTCCGTATTAACTTTAAATCTATTAGCATTTGTCTCATGCAACTAGGTACACCTGTGCTTGTCCATTCTAAGTTTATAATCGTAATGTCCTCTTGATGGATTGATCCCTTAATCAGTCACCTCTTCTTTATCTCTTTTGGCTAGAGTTGGCTGTTACAGAGTTTGTGACCCTTGGGAAAAGACCACAGACTGAATCCAATTTTAATTAAAAGATTTATTGATTAACTGCGAGCAAGGTGAACTTTGGCCAAATTTGAGATTGCCATGGAGGAGAAGTATGGGAAAGGACTTTTAAAGGGGAAAACCACACAAAGACCTTCCATATCTATGCAAGCAAGCAGAATCTGTTTTGTTCTACCGAGTTAAATGATTAAGGCCACTCAAAAGAACCTTTGTGTGTCTGAGGTAGCAAGTTACAGAATCAAGAAAAGCAGTCATATCATAGATAGTCATGGCTGTACATTTTTGGGTGGGTGGGTGGGTGGGTGGGTGGTCACTGAATCAGGGTTACTGGGAACTTACCTCCCAGGGACTGGAGTCAGAGACAAACAGTTGGAGGTTACCAAGATGGATGTTGTCTTAGTTAGGGTTTCTGTTGCTGTGAAAACACACCATGACCACAGCAACTCTTATAAGGAAGAGATTTAACTGTGGTGGCTTGCTTACAGTCAGTTTCAGAGGTTCGGTCCATTATCTTTATGGCAGGGAGCATGGCAGCGTGCAGGCAGACATGGTGCTGGCTACTTCTTGATCAGAGGGCAACAGCAAGTGTACTGAGACATTGGGCAGTATCTGGAGCATAGGAATCCTCAAAGCCAGCCCCTATAGTGACACAATTCCTCCAACAAGGCCATACCCACTCCAACAAAGCCACACCTCCTAATAGTGCCACTCCCTATGAGCTTATGGGGGCCCATTCCATTCGAACTACAGATGCCTAGCATAAAATGAGGCTTCTTTAGCCATAACATTCCACACTGGCTCTAGATCATATGAATCAAATTGTTGATTCACATTTATGTTAGGGCTAAGGGTTGATATTTTAATTTTAATTAAGCCAATCAGATCCCAGCCAGCATCTTGAGTAACCCTTTTTGTAACTCTCTGATTTTAACAGGTATTTGTAACACTGAAGGAACCTAGAGGCCAGCCATGAGCTTTGCTAATAAGCACCATAGACAGCCATTTGTCTTTTGACAGTGGTAGGAAAATGGCTCCTTTGATAGAGAGGAACTAGTTCCCTTTGAACCTAACATTCCAGCCTTTTGTTAATGATAAGGGGTGATGTAGTCTCTTCTGTAACTGCTTCTCAGATGACATAGGATGTTGTTGTCAGGTCCAGAAAGTCTGGAAGGCTGGTCAAAGGCCTGGGGAGGGCAGGATACTTCTAGTTTGCTCTCCATGGTTTGTGGACCATCTGAGGCTAGTGAAGTATAGGTAGCTTTGGAGCAGTCTGAAATGCTGGTCCAAAGCTGGGGCTCACACTGATAGAAAAGCTTGTCAGAAGCATCTGGTTTACATCAGTTTCAAGTCCAAGGCTTACTAGTTTGTTTATGAGCAATTTGCAGTCTTTAGCTGATGGGAAATTTTCTGGGATGAATATGTAGACTAGGAATAGAAGTTAAAGTTTAGAAACTTAAAGAAAAATCTTACATTTGGAACTTTTAGGCCCATTAATCTGGTAGGTGGGGGAGGGGAGGAGTCCCAAGACCAGTGGGGAGAAAGAGAGGGATCCTATTCTCAGGACTAGACAGGAGGAGAAGCTGAGACTGCACTTATCTGGAGTCTGTTTGACCTGTGACAGGTGGATCCAAGTCTTATAACTTCTTTTGACTCCCTGAAGCTTACATGAAGTTTTAGTTTACAAGAAGAGATGAAAGTTTTGCATGTATTAGCATTACCATTGTATTTAAATTCACATTGTAGGACAGCTGGAATAGACTCATGGCTTTGAGTCCTAGCAAAAACTATAGCTTTGGGTTAAAAAGCATGAACATCCCCCCTCCCACCATCCAGATAGCCAGATATATAGATTGGACACAGATGCTTTAACCTGATGAAAAGCACCTTTAAGTCTATACTTAGAAGACAACCAAAGGAAATTTAAAATCTTGAGCTTGTGACTGAATAGCGATTAGTAATTAGTCTACTAGATTATCAGAACTCTATTGATCAGTGGGAAAAGTCGAAACCTTTGAAATCTCAGTGTAACACATAGAAGGAGAAAGAAATCTAAAATATCCCCCATTATTTATATATCTACATTCACAACTTATATATCTTAAGTCATTTTCTGGGACCCTCAGAACATATTTAAGTGTTTACATCCTCAGATCTTTATTTAACTTAAAACATAATCTTAGACCCCTGGCATGGGCTTTGAGCCTCTTTTACCCAACTAATCACTTACCAGAGACATGAGTAGTTGAAAATGGTCATTGCAAAACATGTTCCTTTAGTGAAGAGTTACACCCAAAACCTATTTATCCTTTAATATGAAATCTGTTAGCAAGGCAAACATGTCCGCCTTTTTGGTTTTTCGAGACAGCTTCTCTGTGTAGCTTTGAGCCTTTCCTGGAACTCACTCTGTAGCCCAGGCTGGCCTCAAACTCACAGAGATCTACCTGGCTCTGCCTCCCAAGTGCTGGGATTAAAGGCGTGTGCTACCACTGCCTGGTCCACCCTTTCTTTCTTTCTCTTTTTTCTTTTCTTAATTTCTTTTGGGGGGGGGTGGTTTTAGATCAAATCATTTAATCAGTAGTCAGTAGTCCATTCTAATTTACATTCAGCCCCAGGAGAAAAAAAAAAAATCACCGAACACTCAATTTAGAAAACAGACTAAAATCACCCATTTCATGATCTCACCTGCATGCTCACATCTTTGCTTCATTTCTATTGGATGATAATCCACTTCTCCCCTGTTTGCAGTGTGCATGCAATACAGCCATGCGGTCTCATGACTCGATCGATAGTGCCAGCGTCCCTCGGCTCAAAAGCCTCCTGGCAATCATATGTGCTTTATCAGTATCGCCATTGTTTGTCAATATGGAAACCTGAAACTTTGTCACAGGGCAGCTGCTAAGGCTTGTGCTTGGAGCGTGGCCTTCTGTTGCAGCCTTGTCTGTCAGGAAGACTCAGCTGTCTCTTTTTGAGCATTAAAAACTTTAAAAGCCATTTCCACCAATTCCTTGGCAGGGGAGTTTGGGGACCCTCCTCAGCCTTTTTAATTTTTTTTTTTCTAATATCTGGCACTGACTGAGAAATGAAAAGGGTGGCCAGGACCATGGCTTTGCCTGGGGAGGCTGGGTCAAGGTCTTTTGGGACCTGTTTAGAAAAACGGCTCTTTTTTCGTCAGCTGGCTGTGTAATCTCTCGGAGCTTATCAAAATTCACAACTTTGTACAAGACCATTCCCATACCTTGGAGGAGGCAACAAATCATGAGGTCTCTTCCCTGGCGGCCGTTTTGACCTGGTTAGTAATCCCAGTGAAGCTCTGTAGCTGGCTTTACTGTATTGTCCACTAGGTGGGTTTGGTCTGCACACTGCCTAGCTACTGCCTGAACTCATTCCTCGGGTGTAGATGTAACCATCTTGTTAAATAAGAAACACAGAGCCGATTCAGAGATGAAAGCCAAGAGGTCAGAGCAATAGCTAAGAGCTGAGATTAAAAACCTCACCCTTCACTGCCGCTGCTGTCCTACCTCTCCGCAAGAGACCTACTTCCTGTGTGATTGTCCTTTTTATTGACTTTCTATTCTGCCTTCTCATTGGTTGTAAACCCAACCACATAACCTCCTCATCACTGCCTGTCTGTACAGACCTCCAGGTCTTCTATGGTTGGTATTGAGATTAAAGGCGTGTGTCTCCTTGCTGGCTGTATCCTTGAACACACAGAGATCCGCCTAGCTCTTCCTCCCAAGAGCTGGGATTAAAGGCATGCACCATCACCACCCAGTTTCTGCTATGGCTTGCTATTAGCTCTGACCCCCAGGCAACTTTATTTATTAACATACAAATAAAATCACATTTAAGTACAATTAAAATATCACCATACTCAGGAGTGAGGGTGGAGGTCTGGATCACATAAAGTCATGCCAGGTCAGATCATAGGCCTGGGACAATAACAGAACTCCTTGATATTAACAGAAGGATTAGCAGAGAAGGAACCCAATTGCTTCTCTATTTGTGAGAGGGCATGTGGACTTGGAGAATTCTGTTGGCTCCAGAGGAGAGGGCAGAGGAGGGCAGGAGTCTGGCAAAACTGAGTATGAGAAGAAACTGGGGAACATTTGGGGGTATTAGGCCAGTATGTAAAAGGGAACCAGGGTGTAGGTTGAGGCATTGAGAGATAGGGAGGAACAGTGAGGGGGGGGGACAGGAAGAAGGGTAAGGAAGAGGGATTTGGTCTTCCATCTGTGGCCCAGTAGGAGAGGGTTAGGTAGGTAGAGTTTGGGGGAGGACTGGGGGGGGGGGGCTGTGTCCCTGGCAGCATGGTGGGAGTGTAATTTTCAGGATCCCAGTTCCCAGGTAGGCGGGAATCTGGAGGTGCCATGACCCTAGCCAACAAGACAGTGCTGTGAGACATTGGCCTCTGAGGGAGGACAGGAACACAGAACTAAAAAGCCATGGATGTAGGGCAGTTCTGTCCAATTATCTCCAAGCCTACAAAAATTTTCAAGATCGCAGAGGATGGAAAATTCTATGGTGGTTGTCTCAGGAAGCTACCTTGAAATCAGGCTATTAGGACAGATGGTATCAGATAGCCCCAATACGAACAGATTTTGTAAAAGATAGCACAGGGGAATTTGGGGATCAGGCATTGAATGGCAAGTACCCATTTCACAAGTCTGTGCCAGGGACCTGAAGCCTAGCACAATGCATCCACTGTGGTAGGTCTTGGGTCAAAAAAACAAAAACAAAAACAAAAACAAAAAACCGAGAGGGTGTGGGAAATTCTCTTCAAAAAAATGTCTTCTGGAGAAGAGGATCCCACGGAACAAAGGCAGCCCTTTGCTCCAGAATGGGTCAGGGGCCTGACGCAGCTGCATCTTTGGCAGGACACCCCAAAACTCGAAGAGGCCCTGGGCCTCTTAGGCAATCACTTGAAAAGGGCAACTTACCCAGGCAAAAGCTGATCTTAGTCTGGCAGAGAGCAGGTGTGGGGGAGAGGGGTGTTTTCCCACCATGTGTCCCTGGGCCAGTGGGGGAAAAATCAATGCCCCCTCAGTGGGACCTCCAGATGATAAGCCTCTCCACTGACATAGCAATCCAAATCAAACTGAATTAGAAAAGCCCCAGTTTGCCGGATGGTGGTGGGGCATGCCTTTAATCCCAGCACTGGGGAGGCAGAGCCAGGCGGATCTCTGTGAGTTCGAGGCCAGCCTGGTCTACCAAGTGAGTTCCAGGAAAGGCGCAAAGCTACACAGAGAAACCCTGTCTCGAAAAACCTAAAAAAAAGAAAGAAAGAAAGAAAG